TTCGCAGCAATACGTCCGCCGACAAAGAGTCCGTAAACTTCAATCCGCCGAGCGGTACGGCCTCGAACCGGGGCAATACGGTCAGGTCGACGGAATGTAAACCGACGCCCTCGCCGGTCTGGGCGCGCACGAACAGCGTACGCCGCTGAAATTCAGTTCGCCCAACGCCCCGAACGACCGGTACTCGTCGAGCAATCCCTTTTTTCAGAGTCCCCCGCAGAACATTTCCGTCGTGCATACCGCGCCAATAAGCCGCCGCGGTCCTCGATTCCGAGCAATTCGGCGCCCTGCAGCGCGACCTGTAACGATTCGCCTTCGGCCACCGATCCGGGAACCGAAAGTTTCAACGGCACGGGATCGAACGTCAGCGACAATCCGCGAATGATCTCGGCTGGCAGTTCGGCTTCGGCGAACACGCCGTCGATACCGGACCGCAGGCGAACCGGAATCGGTTCGCCGTGATCGTCAGCCGCACGTTCGTGCAACAGTAACGACCATCGGATTTTCCGGGCGAGTTTCCCGGTCGTATGCAGGTCGTATTCGAGCCGGTTTCCGGATCGCCGGGAAATCGACCGATGGTTTTTCAGCCGCATCGAAGCGGAAGGCCAATCGTCCGGAAAATTGGGCACACCCGGATATACCCCTCCGGAGCGTGCATTTCCAGGCCGAAAAGCGCCTCGACCACAGCCGCCACATACAACCCTGCCGGAGCGAGAAATAAGCCGGAACCGCTTCGGTCGAAACTTCGGGCCGATCCCCGGTGGTTGTCGTCCATTACCCAGCCGCCAGCGCATGCAACGGATCGGACACCCTGTGCGCAACCCGGCGGCCGCGTATCCCCACGCGCCCCACGGCTGCTGAGCGGCTCCGGCCTGCATTCCCAGGTCCCGACCGCATGATACGGAAATTATTGGAACATAAATCGCTCCGGAGCTGTCGGTCGCCGGTCGGACAGGTGTCGGATCGACTATAGGAACCAACAGGTCGGTTATCCCGAAAATAGCCGGATAGGTCAGCGTATGGTACTGTCCGTCGAGCCGGGGATTGCCCTGCAGATCGTCGAAATAGACGAACCGCCCGAATCGAACGCCCCAATTTCGCGCGCAGCCGCGAGACGGTCTCGTCGGCGCGGGCGCGCCACAGCAGCGACGCGTAGTATCCCGAGTCCGGCGGCCAGTTCGCTGCGAGGTACGCATCATGTTGATCCCTTTCGACCGACGGGTCGTTCCGTCGCCGGCGTAGCCACGTAATCTTCCTGTGCCGATCTGCGACCCCAGCCGAGCAGCAATTGTCATTCCTGTCGTATTCGGCGAACGTCTGGCCGATTACCCGTCGAGCACGGTCCCGTCGCGGGCGGCAAAATCGAGTCGCCGGTAAAATTCCAGTAACGGCGCACCTGCCATGCCAGAAACTGGTTCGTCCCGCCGAATCGCGACGCGTAAACCGAATGGCGCGAAATGCGGGATCGACCCGTCGGAGATTGATCATCTCGGCCTGTTTGAGCGTCGTGGCGCGCGAACGGTCGGTCCTGACCGAGCCACTCGGCCGCCGCAGTCTGCTGCATGTGCCACAGCGAAGTCCATGATGGATGCACTCGCCCAGCCGTACGGATCGACCCAGGTATATTCGAGCGTGGTCAGCGCGCTGCCGAAAGCCTTGTCGATCAACGAATCGGGGGTCTCGATCCGGTTTCGCAAGCAATTCCCTTAATGACGTGTGGGTTCCGACATCGTCCAACGCCCGGGACATATCGAGTCCGGAGATCTTTTACCACCCGGGCCCGGTCTTCGGCACAGGCGAGCAACACTTCGCCCGACCCGCCGGCGAAAGCGCAGTCGAGGTACTCTCCCCGCCCTCGCCGCGCCGGACATCGACGACGGCGGAAGTCCGCACTCCGTAATCGCGCTATGTTCGCCGGTGGCGATCAGGTAGGTTTTACCCTGCTTGTCGATCCGGTTGTCGCGCGGGTCGAGCGGCTCGAACGGCACTTTGTTTCATATCCTCGAAAGCCGACCGTTGCCAAAACGATTCGCCGATCATCAGGCGCACCGTCGCTTCGTTTCGGTGCGGATGCTGTACACGGCGGCCCCGACCCGGGTGATTCGCCCGTACCGACCATCAACAGCGTAAACCGTCTCTCGACCTCGACGCCGTCCGAGCCGGAACGCGCCTCGACGCCGCCCGGAAAATCCTCCACGCGGATATCGTCGCCTCGGCCGCGGTATAAATGCGGCCGTCCACCTCGACCTGCGGCACGATGCGCGCGATGGCCGTATATTGAATCCCGTAATTCTCGCGCACGTAAGTCAACAGGCGCGATACCGGAGCCCGTTCGTAAGTGCGTACCAGCGCATAGTTTCCAGGCCGCCATCCGTCCATCGGCTGCCGTTGAAATGTGTCGGGAGCCAAGGATTGCGTTCGTGCGGGAGATCCCGTTCCCAACACAACCGCCGTTAGAAAAAGCTGCGCAAAGCGCAAAAGTCGTATCGTTTCATAAGCAGTTTAGGTTAGAACTATAAAGGTACGTATTTTACTGGATTTCCGATCTCGATCTGCACGGAATTTCTCCGACAACACAACCGTTTGCCGCATCCGAACTATTATCTATCTTGCAGAAGAAAATCCCGACGGGAACGAATTTTGCAGACACCGGGAGAAGGTCTGCGGCGGGGATCGCCATCGTCCATTTTCCGCCCGAACCGTCCGGATCGTCCGGCTGCATGAAAATTTATTAAACCATAATTTGATGAAAAGATTCGAAAACAAAGCGGCGCTCGTAACCGGAGCGGCCAAAGGAATCGGTTTTGCCACGGCCGAGCGGCTATGCCCGAAGGGGCCTCGGTCGTCGTGGCCGACTACGACCTGGAAGGAGCTAAAAAGGCCTGCCAAACCCTGAACGACGCCGGAGGAAACGCCGTCGCCGTCTATTTCAATGCGGCGGAACTGGAAAGTTCGCGCGACCTGGCGGCGCATACGCTGAAAAATTTCGGCCGGATCGACGTGGTCGTCAACAACGCCGGGTATGCCGATCCCAAACGGGACGCCGACCTGCTGCACGCCGACCTGGATTATTCGACGAAGTGTTCCATGTGATGGTTCGCAGCATGATGGTCATTACGCAGCAGGCAGTCGCCTGGATGACGGCCAACGGCGGCGGCGCGATCGTCAACGTCGCGTCGATCGGAGGGTTGACCGGCAACCTGACGGGCGCTATTACGGCATCTGCAAAGCCGGTTCGGTCAACTTCACGCGGTACGTAGCCACGCAGTACGGCAAAGCCGGCGTGCGATGCAACTGCGTCGCGCCGGGACTGGTGTTGACCCCAGCGGCCGAACGGTCGCTGACCGACGAGTACAAGGAACTGTTCATCGCGCACAATGCGGTGGATTACGCCGGGCAGTCGGAAGACATCGCCGGAGTGATCGCCTTCCTCGCTTCCGACGACGCCCGTTACGTGACCGGGCAGACGGTCGTGGCAGACGGCGGCTGCACCTGCCACAATCCGACGGTCAGAGACATGCGCGCTTTTGCGGAAGGACAGACTACGTTCAAATAAAGAAAATACGGTGCAGGCCAAGGCCCCGCAGACCGTAAGCATAACGGCAGGGACGACACAACAGCCGTCCCTGTCGGTTTTTACAGCACTGTATGTTGAAACTGGGAAAAGAATCCGTCGTCCGGTGAAACGAATATGACATGCCCCATCACAATACCCGTTTCATCCCCGGAATACTCCGCACCAGATAAACCAGCGCGAACGACACGACCGTCGCGCATATTCCGATAAAAAGAAACTTGACCGTTCCGCTTCCCATATCGAACCCGTCGAATGCATATTGCAATCCGATGATGACGAACAGGTGGAAAAAATAAACGCCGTACGCCTGATCGGCCAGCCATCGGCGGAAAGGGGACGTCCGATTGAATCTTACTCTGTACAGATAGATCAGACCGAAACTCAGCGACAGACAGAGGAGCGCTTCATACCACCACCAATTCTTCCAGATATTGTTTCCCAGAAAGGGTAAACCGGACGCAAATAAACCAATAAAACCATCATCCCGCCACCGCGAGCAGTACCTTCCCCACCGACGGAGACAATGATCCGAACCAATCGTTCCGGTAAGCGACAATTCCCAGCGCAAACATCAGAACGTATTGGGGAAGATGGGCGGGTTCGCTACTCAAAAAACCTCCCAGCATTTTCCAGTGGTCGATCGGATTTTCCAACCGGACATAATAAGTAACGGCGGATAACCCGGCTGCCAAAAGCAAACACGCAGTAAATTCAACCGCCTGTCCCGTTTCAGTCCCCATTCGTATTTTCTGCACGCTTCGTAAATGCAAACATAGGCCAGCGAATAAAACAACAGATGTTCCAGAAACCACGTATGAGCGAATTCCGCTTTTCCGGTAACCGATAACGACAATATCAGCACGACCAGCATGGGAACGCCCAAGCGGATCGCCCTTTTGCGAACAAATTGCTTCGTACCGCTTCTATCCAGGCTTCCGGGTATAAAATAAGCCGAAATCAAAAAAAACAACCCCATGAAGAAAGCCGCGTTCACCGGAAAGAAATTTCCGAGCCAACCGACATATTCATGCGATAAGGAAGGGAGTAAGGCCACGCTCCTCCGTCGCCGTACGCCTGACCGGCATGATGAAATACGACCATACCGTGAGAAGCACTTTCAAATTATCAAGGTAATGGCATCGTGTAACGGAAGGAAGCACAGTAGTCGGCATAAGAAAGTCAATATTCGGGTCAGTATTATAAAGATACGAAAAATTTTTCCCTATTCCAAATTGAAAAGGCGGGGACTTCCGGAATCGGGATGATTCCCTGAAGTCTCCGCCTTTTGTTACGAGGCAGAATCTGCCGTTTGCAGGTTACCGGGAACGGAAAGCCGTTCCCGTCGGAACATCGCGCGAAGTAAAAACTTACCCCCGATCGAAAAATTTATTTCTTATCCGTCTTCGACGAGCTCTTCCCGTCCATCGGTTTTTTCTTCATGTCGTCCGAATCTTTGGGCGTGATGACGATCCGCATCCGCATCCCCCTTTCTTAGTGCTTTCCATAATACGATAATTTATAAGTGAAACATTCTTTACTTTTTTCGGTTATTGCTGTCTTTGTTTTTTATGGCTCAGCAGCGAAGCGATCCACAGCAACACGATCGCCCCGACGAGCGACGCGATCAGGCTGCCCAGCGTCCGACGGCGACCAGCCCGAACAGGCTCAGCAGCCATCCGCCGAGCACCCCGCCGACGATACCGATCACGATATTGAGCAACAGGCCCGAACCGCTGCCCTTGACGATCAGACTGGCGATGTAGCCCACGATGAGCCCGATCAATAAATACCACAGAAAATACATAATTCCGTTTTTTATGTTCTACGAACGTTTCCCGGAATACATCAATACCCGTGCCATGTCGGCCGGGAAAGAGCGGAAAACCGTAGGAAAAAGGTCAGAATTGCAGCGTGACGACGCCCCCGTATGGGGCAGGCTCCGCAAACGCCTGTTCGACAGAACACGAGTCGGCGACCGTGCGCGCGCAGGCGATCACCCCGCCGTGCGTAAAAAACAACACGCGACTCAGGCCGGCCGCTTTCAACCGGCCGATAAAAGAACCGACGCGGCCGCACATTCCATCGAACGACTCGCCGCCGGCCGTCGGCGCATGCATCCAGTCGGCGAACCATACTTTCAGCCGGGGATCGGAAATCGCCATCCACGGCCGCATCTCCCACGCCCCGAAATCCATTTCCAACAGGCAGGATTCCCGCACGGCGTCCGGCCAACCGCAGAAAGCCGCCAGCCGCTCGCAACGGCTGAGCGGACTGGTGTAAACGGCATCGAACGGCGGCGTCGGCAAAGCCGCCGCAACGGGCGGTCGCCTCCTGCGGAAACGTCGCCTTCAGCGGCACATCCGTCCGTCCGTAGCAACGCCCGGCGGAACGTCAACCGAGGTATGCCGCACCAGTACCGCTTCCATAATATCGGTATAAAACGACCAAAGCCACATAAAACGAGCCCTCGCACAACAGGAATGCCGCACCGCAGCAATCCCCCGTGTACCCGCCGATACGGCGTCGCATCTGTCGAATAAGCCACGCAATGCACGCGAACGGCGCAAGCCCGGCAAGCCAGTAAGGCGGATAAAACAGCGACAGCATCGGCAGCACACCGAACGCCGCGCCGCAAACTATTTCGCCGACGCGCATCGGTGCATACACCACGCCGGATTTGCTCTGAGCCGCCGGACGCGCGTAAGGCAGGAAATTGATCGTCATCGACGCGACGAACTTGCAGAACGGATCGCCGCAAAGCACCGCCGCACACGCCACCGGAACCGGCAGCGAAGCGAGCAGCGCGACGAGCAGCCCGAAATAGAGAATCAACCCGATGATTCCGTAACTGCCTGTACGGGAGTCTTTCATAATGGCCAGCGTCTGCTCCCGGGTTCTACCTCCGCCGAAACCGTCCAGAAAATCGGAAAGCCCGTCTTCGTGCAACGCCCCGGTCAGCAGCACCCGCGCGATAACCGCCGCCAGCACGGCCGCCGGCACCGGCAGTAGGAACGCCGCACCATACAACACCCCCGCCGTCACGGCAGCGGTCAGCCACCCGGTCGCGGACCAATAAGCCACCACCCGCCGGTAACAGGCGTCCGGAACCCGCACGACCCGCCACAGGGGCAGGCGTGTGAAAAAGATCAATGCGGCGGCAAGCTGTTTCATTTCAAAATCCGTATTAAAATCGAGGGCGGAATTTCGTCCGGAACGTTCCGCTGCAATCACCCGCAGACATCGCAGCGCGCACTCCCCTCTTCTAAAAATATTTGGTAACGCCGGCGTCGCCGAACGAAGCCATTTCGGCGAGCATCCGCACGGCCGATTCGACGATCGGATAAGCGCACACGGCGCCGGTTCCCTCGCCCAGACGCAGGCCGAGGTCGAGCAGCGGTTTCGCTCCCATCGCATCCAGCAACAGGGCGTGTCCCGACTCGTCTCCCCGGTGCGCGAACACCGCATAGTTCAACACTTCGGGATAAAGCTTCGATGCGGCGAGCATACAGTTGGTCATAATGAATCCGTCGACGAGGATCACCATTCCCAGCTCGGCGGCCTGCAACATCGCCCCGACTGCCATCACCATCTCGTAGCCGCCGAACCAGCGCATCACGTCCTCCACCGAACGATCGCCCGCATATCCGTCGAGCGCCTGCCGCAATACATGGCATTTACGGCGCACCCCGGCCGAACCGAGTCCGCTGCCGGCCCCGACGCACTGTTCGAGCGGAGTACCGGTCAGGCAGGTCATCCACATCGACGAAGCCGACGTATTGCCGATCCCCATTTCGCCGAAACTGATGACGTTGCAACCGTCGTCGCGGCACATCGCAGCGACCGAAGCGCCGCGTTCAACGGCCAGTTCCATCTCCTCGCGCGTCATGGCCGCCGTATCGACGAAATTACGCGTCCCGCGGCGAATCTTCAGGTCGATCAGTCCGTCGGCGGCAGGCAGCTCGGCGTCGACGCCGGCATCGACCACTCTCAGCCGGAAACCGTGCTGCCGACACAGGAAACTGATCCCCGCCCCGCCTTTCAAGAAGTTATCGACCATCTGCCGAGTCACTTCTTTCGGCGACAGGCTGACTTTCTCTTCGGCAACCCCGTGATCGCCGGCAAAAACGATGTTGTACGGCCTGTCGAGCGACGGGGTAAGCGTCTGCTGTATCCACCGATCTGCAAAGCCAATTCTTCGAGACGGCCGAGCGATCCGAGCGGCTTGGTCAGCCCGTCAATCTTCTGTTGCAACGCCGTACGAATCTCCGCATCGGGCGTCTTTATCGCAAAGTTTTTCATCATCTATTTAACTTTTATCGGTATGCCGGACACCATCAGTACGACGCTTCCGGCACGTTGTGCAATGTATTGGTTGACCCACACCCTGCAAGTCGGTAAAACGGCGCTGCAACGGATCGGTCGATACGCCGCCGAGCCCGATCTCGTTGGTCACGAAAATAAAGTCGGCGTCCTGCGCGGCCAACCGGTCGAACTCGCTTTTGACCGCGTCCAGCGCCCGGTCGACATCCGAATCGAAATCGTAAAAAAAATTCGTGCACCACAGCGTCACGCAGTCCACCACCACCGTCCGGCCGCGAAAATCACGGCGGCTCAAGTTTTTCGGTCCTCGACCGTCTCCCACTGCGGCCCCCGGTCGGCACGATGGCGTTCGATCCGGAGTCGGTGCTCCTGGTCCCATACGCGCGAAGTCGCCAGGTAGACCGGACGATCCGAACGCTCCAGCGCCAACCGCTGCGCATACGAACTCTTCCCCGAACGGGCGCCTCCCGTTATCAAAGTAATACTACCCACAATCGGTTTCGTTTAATAATTCTATCCATTCGGCGAACGATGCACAGCGTACCGCAACACCGTCCGGACGGAAAAATTCGATATTGTCCGCCGCATGTACGCTGAGCCGCATTCCGTCATTACCGTCCGCGCCGGACTGCGCCGCATAGCCGTTTCGCATCAGCGCA